CACCAGTCAAACATCATCACTCTGCGTTTTACTAAATGATAAAACACGACCATCATACACATAAACAGAGATGAAATGCAGCATCAGATTCTACTTTGGTACTTACAGGGGATGAAGGGAGGAACTGGTCAATGTCGACATTGCTGTTTGAGGAGAGAAAACAAAAACACAAAGCACGAGTCAGACAGAGGCGCTAGGTTAGCCTAGCTTAGCACAAAGACTGGAAGCAGAGGGAAACTGTTAGCTTGCTGTAAAGAGGAAAAGATACATCTGATGTGCACTCACGTGGCAGCCTTGATGATGGTCTTGAGAAGACTCTTTCCCAGAAACATGTTGCCGTCTGTGTGAAACAGAAAGAGTCACAGCAGAGTTACAAACATTACTCGAGCAGAAATGGACAGAGGACGCTATTCATTCTCAATCTTAAAGGTGACATATCTTCCTCCTCTTCTTCTTCAGTTTAAATAAGTCTCAGAGCTCCTCCATGTGTGTGAAGTTTCTTGTTCTAAATCCACTCTGATCCTGTATTTGATCATGTCTATAAACCCCTCTATTTCAGCCCTGCTCAGAACAGGCTGTTTCTGTGTCTGTACCTTTAAATATGTAAATGAGCTGTGTCTGACCACGCCCCCTCTCTGGAAGGGCTTGGGTGTACTCGGTCTTTCTGGCTCCATGTCCTATTGTTTACGGTGAGAAGGCAGACTCAGAGGGCAGAACAAACACCTAGCTGTGGGAGTGTCACCCACCTGGGGGAGGGGCTACTGCCCTTTGTGATGTCATGAAGGGAAAATCTCCAAACGGCCTGTTTGAGCACACATTTTCTGAAAATTGGAGCAGGCAGAAGACGGAGAGGATGGACTTTTCTCATCATTGGGGGGTTTGTAGACTAGAGACACATGTTAGAGTTAGAGGAACATGGAGAAGAGGAGTTTGAATATGTGACCTTTAAAGGGGATAATATTCGGGATGCATCGGTTCAACATTGGTGTTGAAAGATAAGTATTTGACTTCTATGTCTTTCCAGAACTTCACCTGCTTATAGCGTATTATTTACCACCTTGTTACTTCAATACATAACAACAACACCTCTCAGCTCGTGCTGACAGTGTAATGAAGCAGCTGCTTTTTAAACATTCATGCTTTAATAAGAGATGAGAGCAGCACTGACATGTTTACAGACTCACAGGAGAACATCTCACAGAGCCACTCCTAGTTTGTTTTTGAGTCAAGACAAAGTTTAAACAAAGCACGACGGGATCTTTTGACTTTTTTTTTTGTACTTGTCCACCTCTGCAGACAAGGACTGGACAATGTGCAAAATACAACATCTACACATAATCTATACAGTGTCCGGTTTCAGCACACAAAACACAGAACCACACTGCACGGATGTCCCTGAACGCCTCTCAAACCTCCGTAAAAAAGCTTTAAAAAAAACACAATATAATGAAGGTTTATGAGCAACTTACCAAAAGTTGAGTTTATGTGGAGAGAGGAGAGACTCACAGGGAGAAGCCGAGAGAGGTGAAGACACACTGACACACACACACGGACAGAGAGAGGAGGGGAGAGAGAGGTTTGATACTCAGGCTGGGTGACACTCCCTCCACAGTCCACAAACCAGTTGTGCAACTCTGATCCAAGTTCTTTTTCAATGCATCATGAACCCCGCCCAACCCGCGCGCGCACACACACACACACACACACACACACACACACACACACACACACACACACACACACACACACACACACACACACACACACCCAAATCAACACACGCCAGAGAGAGAGAGGGAGAGAGAGCCGCCTGCGGGTCCTAAAGTCCACCCTATTCCTGAAAAAAAAAAACAGGAAAAAAAACCAGTGTGTGGTGCGTTCAGGGGGACGCGGGACAACTCGGACATTTCAGGTTGACCAACATTTAGATGGAAAATGTACAACTAAAAAGCCCTTTATTTTAATATTTTAATATTTTAAACTTGATTTTCTAATTTCTCAAGATATTACGTGTCGTGACATTAAAACGTCTGGCTGGTGATGTTTTTAATTAAAAAAACCAAAATAAAAACAGCCTCAACACGTTTTATTTTTCACTTGTCTTTATTGACTACTAAAACAAGACCAGCAACAATGCAAAGTGTTTGCCAAGACAACCACATATCACAAACAAAATAAATAACAATCAAATATTGGAGAAAATTAAATAAAATATTAAATAATGTGTAACGCATCAAACATTTCACGTTTTGATAACTTTTCTATGTTCAGACATTCTTAGATACCGTAAAACTCCAAATAAAAGCCCATCCCCCTTTTCTGGTGTCGCTGCACGTTATGAAGGCAGCTCTCTGTTAGAGGTACCTATATGCATTTAGCGTGGAAATAGTTTACAAATCAAAGTTAAGGAGACACAAACATGTCTTTCCTGCACTGAGGAATGACAACATCTGTCCGTACGTGTACAGGAAGAGAAGCAGGTTTCTGTTTGCATGATGTC